AAAGAGTTAACGACTGACACTAAACTCTTGGGGTGGGAAACAAAGGCAATGGGGAAGAGAGAAAGATTTTTTTAAAAGTACTTTATATTTTGCTAAAGCTGAAAATTATCTCCAAAATTATTTCCAAAAAGAAATGTCCCTACACAAGTTGGTTCTCCCCTAGTAACTCTTACTTGTATGTTTATTTTTAAATTGAGTGTCAGGTTGTTGTTGTTAGGTGCTACCAAGTCAGTTCCAACTCATAGCTACCTTACGCACAACAGAATGAAACACTGCCAGGCCCACACCATCTTCACAATCAGTGCTGTGTTTGAGCCCATTACTGTGGCTCCCGCGTCAGTCCATAGTGTTGAGGGTCTCTGATTTTTTTCAGAGAAGTAAGGTGAGTATTATTTATGTATCAATAACAAAAGCTTAATCGTGACTTAGATGACATTTTCCCATTTTTAAAACACAGCAGGCTATAAGTAAAATAAATTCAGTATTTAAATGTTATATTCTTCCTAATGTTGCTGTGATAAACAAGGGAGAGTCACTTGTTAATTAATCAATTTTACTTGAATGAATTTGAGCTATCAACAGAAATCACTTACTGAATTTCACTATGTGCCATTTCTTATCAGAACCAAATTGCATTGTCTCTTTTAAACATCAAAACCTTAGCCATACATTTCCACTGAAGTCCTTAAAAGGTACCCTTATTCAATTAACTTAGAACTACTGTGACATGTGGTTAAATATGTCCTTTGCATATTTAAGAAACCCAGGTAGGAAGGTTTGATTATCTCTTTCTGAAACTATCGTATGGCAAAAACCCATTAAAAATATTCTTTAATGTCCATTAAAGGACATAAATAAAAAGCAAAAAAAAAAGAACAACTAACCTTATGTTCTGACAGTTTTTCTTCCGCTTCGTGACTGGAAGATGCCTTCAATAAAGAAAACTCAGACAATTTCTTTTCTGCTTCATTCATCAATTCAATAACCTCTTCCCGTGCTTTCTGGTAATCCTGCCATTGAGCTGCACATCTTGAAAAAGTCCAAAAGAAATCAAATGCAATGAGCATAAGCTGCATGGAACCACACATTTCTATGCAGAGCTCTGATGTCAGTTTTATCTACTGACACTGAAGAACGAAGAGTGAATTTACAGCTGATTCTTATGAGTTGATATTTGTCCCTGCAGAGAAGTCCCAGCCCTCATTTCCCATGAATGTGACCAGATTTGGATATAAGGTCTTTGCACCTTAAATCAATTTAAGATCAGATCACTGGGGTGGGCCCTCGTCTAAAATGACTGGTGTCTCTTATAAGAGGAGACACAGATTCAGTCACACAGATGTCCTATGATGACAAAGGCAGAGGTTGGAGAGAGTCAGCTATAGGTCAAGGAACAGCAAGCATTGCCAGCAACACCAGAAACCAAGAGAAAGGTGTGGAACAGGTTCTTCCTTAGAGCCGTCCCAAGGAGCACGGCCCTGCAAATACCTTGATTTCTGGATTCTAGCTTGTAGAACTGTGAGGAAATAAATGTGTTGTTTCAAGTGACCAACTGGAGGATTTGTTTCGGCAGCCCCGGGAAATGAATACACTGATGTCTATCATTAACTTATTCCTAATTTAGGTGGTGAGCATTCACTTCACATGAAACAAACCCTGTCAGTACCTCTGCAGACGATCTAGCTGGACGTGAGAGTCTTGGATTATGCCCTGGCTCCTCTCCTCCAAAGATGCCATTTTCTGTGCTAGGTCCTCCTTCCCTGTGGGCTTGAGGAGTGGGTTGAGGCTGGATACCAGGCCCTGAAGGGCCTCCAGGTTGCTGTGGAACTGATTCTCTGTACTGAAAAATTCCTTATGACTCTTCAGATTTTCCTCTGAGCTCTCCACATCGAGGCCATTGCCTGACAGCTGTAACATTTCTTGGGCATCCTGAAGCCAGTCATTAGCTGCTTGAAAGACTTGATAGTATCGTTGACACTGACTATATATTTCCGTCAAGGTAGCCTGAAAAATAATGTGAATAGCAATTTTGCAAACGAAATCAGTGCTTAATTACAATGTGTTTGTAGTAAATAGTTTTAAGTTTTTCCTTTTCTGCCCATCCTCAGTCAGAGAATGTGTATAAATAAATGAATATGTGAAATCTTGTTGTGTGCAATCCATTATTGGCCTTGATTTTTCTTTCTGCTATTCTTGTTGTAATTTTACTATTGGATTTAAAATACAGAAGTAGTAAATAAGGACAGAAATGGAATAGAAATGTATGATGGCTTATTTTCTAGCATTATATCTTTAAAAAGAGATGAGAAAAATATAATACTTTTTAATACATAGCGGAATGATATTTACTAAAGTGCAGCAACACCTCAGTGGGTTAGATATTTATACAACCACAGTGAGAATGGTAGTTTTCTGTTTGTCTGCTTTTTAACAACGGCCTTGAGTCTACATGACAGGGTAAAAGATCATTCAACAGACTTGTGTTTGAGAAGCTGGAATTTTACATAATGAAGTTTATGAGTATTTTACCTAAAATGTTCACATAAAATGGCTTGCTACTTAAAATGTTAACCTTAATTTAGTTAGACAATAAAGTGATATGATAGCAAAGATTTGTTGAGGAATCTCTCTACACTAGTTGTTATGTTAAGAGTATAAACTTCATGAAGGAGATGGTCTGATTGTTATTCTGCAGAGAGACACATGACACTTAAAGGAGATAAGTAACTGGCCTGGGATCACATAGCTAAGATGGACCCCTGTCCATCTTATTCCAAAGCTTGAGTCACTACATTATCCTCAGGAAAGCTGTCTTCTCCCTGTATGGTTGGTTGGTTGAAATGCCTTAGCATCAGATGGACTGTGGACAGATGACAAGAAAAAGAAAAGGGCTAAAAGGTTCAAAGGAGCAGTCTTCTGGGCTCGGTTCTATCTCTTCCTCTTCCTTTTTTTATTTTTACGTTTATGTTATGGAGGTAAAGTACGTGTAACATAAAATTTGCCCTTCGAATCATTGTATAGTATCATAGTATAGTGGGCTGAATTACATTCACAAGGTTGTCCACTCATCACCACCATCAGTCAGAACTCCATACCCATAATCAGTATCTTCTTATGTGTGAATGGACAGAACTCCAAGCCCCAGAGTAACTGTAATTGGGAGGTCAAATTGGGACATCCTGCATACGATCATTTCTTTCTGTTATCACCGAGGAAAGTCATGCTATATGGAAGCAAGAGAAGGAGACCAGTGCCCCGATGTCTCCTTGAGGAAGGGATGGAGAGATGGCACAACCAGTGGGAGACTTCACAGAAAAAGGGCTCAGGGACAGGGTCACAGTCGTATCACCAGTCTCCCTCTCCTTTTGCAGACCCTGCATCCAGTGCTAATCCTAGAAATCCTGGGATTCACATTGTCTAAGACAACATTCCTTATAAGGATGTGAAACGTTCCTAAAGGTGAGGGCTAAGTGAGGTTTTACTGTATTATTGGAGTCCCTGGGTGGCATAAACTATGATGCACTTGGCAGCTAATCAGAGGTTGGAGGTTCGAGTCTACCCAAAGGTGTCTTGGAAGGAAGACCTGGCAATCTACTTCTGAAAAACCCTTAAAGAAAAGCCATTGACAAACTCTATGGAGCACAGTTCTCCTCTAACACACATGGGATTGGCAGGAGTCAGGGTTGACTCGAGAGTAACCGTTTGTTGCAGTACTATATAGTAACAGAAGCCCTAGCAGCGCAGTGGTTAAGCATTTGGCTGCTAACCAAAAGGTCAGCACTTTGAAATTTGCTCCATGGGAGACAGATGTGATAATCAGTTTCCACAAAGATTTACAGCCTTGAGATAGTTCTATTCTGTCTTATAGGGCCTAGGAGTCAGAATAGATTTGATGGCAGTAGTTTAAAGTGAAGTCTACATGGTAATCACATGAGATCAGTACCATGGGCTTAAGCACTAAAAAACATCCTCTTAAGTCATTGTAGAAGATGATTCTATACAGTATCCCCCACATATTTAAGGAACCAATTCTAACTGAAAAGAATACACATTTCTTGTAGCTACTTACAAATAAGCAGATGGAAAAGAGAAAAGAAAGGCCCATCTCACCAACCTGCCTGGTACACAAAGCTTCCTGGACTTCTCCATCGAGCTCGGAGAGCTCAGCCAGGGTGTGTTCCAGGTCAGCAGGAATCAGTTCCTTTGCTTTCGTGAACTTCTCCTTCTCCTTGTGACTCAGGGCATTCATTATCCGCAAGCTGGACTGGACCTCTTCCTGATGGATCTGGGTCTTTCTGATCTCCTCCTGGATGTCCTGCAGGTTCAGGTCCAGGCACACTGGCCCACTGAGCTCTGCCTTGACCCTTCTCAGCCAGTCCAGGGAGCGGCTCATTTCTGTCTGGAAGTCTATGCTCTGTACCATTCGGTTCTCACATTCTGTGACTGTCTCACTGATGGCAGAAGTCAACTGTTCCAGCTCCTCTTGCCAGGACTGCAGCTTCTGTTTGGCTTTCTCATAAGCCAGGGGATCGAGGTATAGAGAAAGATCTTCAACATGCACAGTGACTCGTTTTAGCAGAATTCCTGAATCCTGAAGACTTCCCGCCAGGGAATGGTACATTTTGAGCTTCTCCTCTGCAGGAAGGGTCTCCTCGTTCACTTTGGACTGTTCCTTTTTTATGGCCTCTAGTTGTTTCTCTAGCTGTCGGCACATGTTCTCATGCTCTTGGTAAGCACTAGTGATGTCGTCTAATAAGCTAACCCGTTGCTCGGCTTGCCGCTTCAGCCTGTGATATGAGGTGACAAGATGCAGCATCTTGTTTGGCTGCCAAGGCTGGCCTGTGCTCTGAAAACTTTCTTTTTTCTGGTTCAGCTCATTTACTGCTTCCCCCAGGCTCACCACCTGCCCCAGAAGGGCTCTGCAGCGATCCTGAAGAGACAGGGCCTCTTCAACAGCCAGGTCGGTGGGGACTTTGCTCATCTTTAAGAACTGGTCTTCAAGGTCACTCAGTGACTGGGCTGTCAACTCGATCAAAGAAGCGTATTCTTTCCGAGCGAGAATCGCTTCTTGGACTTTATAGAACTTGTCTTTAGCCAAGGCCACAATAACATTAAATTGCTGGGGCAGAGAATTTAGCTTTTCACTGAGGTAGGAATGGTCAACTTCGTTCAGCGACGGTAACAAGGCCTGCCCTGTTCTCTGCAGCGTAAGTAGAAGATTTTCATATTCTGGAGATTGTTCAAGAATGTGTTGGTATTTGGCCAGTTGGGCATGAAGCTCAGTGCTCTCATTCATGAGGTTGATTTCAGGAAATGTAACAATATCTGCTTGTTTTAGCCAGTGACAAGCTTTGTCAAAATCTTCCTTAAAATGCTTCCTAGAAACGAAATTTTTCTCTAGCTCTTGTAGTCGATGGCTACACTTTTGCAAAACAGTGTCATACACACTCTGTAACTCCTGGAGTTTGCCTAGTACCTCACTCTTTTCCTGCTCTGTGGCTCCTTTCATTAAGTCCCGGCCCTGGGCCCAAAGCCCAGTGACTTCATTCTGGTAAGTCTTGAGGCTAGCTTGTGCACTCTTACACGTTTTCACTTGTTTGCTCACATCATCTGGTAAGAGGCAGATATGTTCACGGAACATGATCTTCCGCTCATGTTGTTGAATTTGGCTGGTCGCCTGGAACACGGCCATGAGAAACTGGGTTTTCTCAGACAAGGCCTTGTTTAAGTACTTTCGCCTCTGGCCCACGAGGTCACTGAGGCAACTCATGTGCTTCTGTACATCCGCGAGCGCCTTCTGGATCAGCTGCCGCTCATTCAGGCCGAGGTCCACCATCACTCTGTCAGCGTCCTTTATGAGTGACTTCAGCAGCATCTGTTTGGCCTCCAGCTCGCTGCAAATGGCGAGATGATCCATGAGGAGTTTCCGCGCTACATCGGGAGGCGGGCTCTGCTTCAGGGCCTCAGCAATGCTGGGCTGCTGCTCCTCTGCCCACTCCATCAGCTCCTTAAGTCTGGACTGCACGACGTTTAACTCCTCCAGGTTGGTGACTGACACTTGGATTTTCCTTTTCACGAGGTCCTCAAGCTGAAACCAACGTTGTTCAAAGTGACTAGTCTGCTCCTTGACTAACTCTCTGTCATCTAGATTCAGGTGCTCTATCACCTTCTGCTTTCGGTCTTTCAGCTCTTCTACAGCAGACTTCCTTTCCTGTAACGCCAGTGCGAGCTGTTTCAAGGCCTCCAGGTGGACGGCCGTGCTCTCTGCATCAGATCTGTAAGTTGATTGAAAAACATAAGAGTAAATAAAAAAAAAAAAAAAAAAAAACAGTCGCTGTTGAGTTGACTCCATCTCATGGAGTAACATGTCTACCACATGTCAACACCACATGTATCAGAATAGAACTGTGCTCCACTGGAATGCCAGGCCCTTCTCCCAAGAGACCTCTGGGTGGATTCAAACAACCAACCTTTTGGTTAGTAGCCAAGTACTTAATTGTTTGCACTGCCAGGGACTCCAAGAGCAGATTAGGCTTAGTCAATATCTGTGTCACACCACATTAAATTACTCTTCCCCATCTCCTTTAAAGTAGATATTCTCAGTTTAGACAGGGCAATTGTGAGTGGCCCAATTCATGCTTTATTGACAGATGCCATAATTATTATGGAATACATTCCCATACAAATGAAATGCATCATACCTCCTTATGAACACACATTTCCAACTGTATCAGATTTAAAGGAGACCTGTGGCATTTCCTTTTATTGAGTTACTTTGGAGAGAGTAAAGAAAAACTGATAAATATGGCAAAGCATCATAGACCAGAAGCTGAACCAAATCACGTTGCCTTGGTACCTCTTCTCTGCTCTTCTTTCTTCGGCTGATACTACCCCACAATCACAGCTGACAACATCTGGCTGATGCTACCCCACAATCACTGCTGACACATGTCAGCCTCCTCTGGCTCTTACCAGGGAAGCAGAGTCTGCACTTCAGCGTGCTCTCCGGGCGGCTTGTGTGAATATGACAGGGTGAGAAGCACCGCTCCGCTGCGTTCTCGAGAACAGCACTTACCTGAACTAATAGGGGGCTCCTGATTTCTGTGCTCCAAGGAACAATAAAGCACTAAATAGTACAATCTGCAGGGCACAACCAGTGACTTCAGCAGCCACTAATTTGTGTACTTAGCAAATCGTTCTTGTCTGTCATTAAACCAAAAAAACCAAAGTCACTGCCGTGGAGTAGGACTCAATTCACAGTGACCCTTCCTTGGGTTTCCGAGGCAGTACACTATGGAAGTAGATGGCCCAACCTTCCTTCCAAGGAATATGTGTCAAACACAAAGAATTTTTACCCCTTTGGCTACAGAACACATGCAAAGTGGAAACGCACTCTCTTTCATTTATAAGATGATCAGTTCTGAAGAATGAGGAGGTTTAGGAATCAGCATTGAGCTCTGTTTTGGACATAGTAAGGCTGAGGGGTATGTGGTCAGCCAGGCACAGTTGGCTGACAGTCTAAATATGGTTTTGGTGGTGGTGTTTCTTTTTTTTTTTTAAATATTGACTAGACTCGTCCCTTTGATCCTATAAGGACTAAAAGACACTTAAAATGTTGAACATTAAGTAAAAATATTGAAAACAAGTCAGAAAATAGTGTGTGGTTGTTAGTTGCCATCGGGCCAATTCTGACTCCTAGTGACTCTTGTGTGAAGAGTAACATTGTTCCATAGGGATTTCAAGGCCACGGCCATTTGAAAGCAGATTACTAGGCCTGTCTTCTGAGATAGCTTGGGGTAGCTTCCTAGAATACTCAAGTTTTCAGCTGGTAGTTGAGCACTTGTTTATGTCCCAGGGACCTGCAGATATAGATTTCTATAACTATAGTATAAAGAACTCTGGTGATGTGGAGGGTTAGGCATTTGGCTACTAACCACAGGGTCAGCAGTTCAAACCAACCAGCTGCTCTTCAGGAGCAAGATGAGTCAATCTACTTCCATAAAGATGTACAGCCTTGGAAAGTCAATGGGGGTTACTATGAATCAGAACTGACTCGATGGCACTGGGTATACCGATAGTATACAGACATCCCTAATAGTGCAAAGATTAAGTGCTCATCCGCTAACCAAAATGTTAATCCACTCCCATCAATTCATCAACTGACTCCATAGGAGACAGACCTGGCCTTTTGCACCTGTAAAGATTATAGCCTAGAAAACGCTATGGGGCAGTTCCACTTTGTGACATGGAGCAGCTACGAGCTGAAATCAATTTGATGGCACCTGACAACAACATACCAAAAATCAAACCCATTGCCATTGAGTTGATTTCGACTCACAGTGAGGCTGTATCTCTATGGGAGTAGATTACCCAGTCTTCCTTCCAAGGATTGGTTGGTGGGTTTGAACCTCCAGCCTTCTGGTTAGCAGTCAAATGCCTTAGGCACTATGCCACCAGAGACAACAACATAGTATACAAAAACATGATTAAGCTACATCTAGAATAACGCATATAGTTTTATTGCTGTAAACTAATAAATTTGACCAGAAGCAGTGCAGATTTTGGTGATTATAATGACAAAAAATATAAAATTAACACTTGATGACCTCCAGCAGAAAATCATGACTTTCTAGATAAAGGCTCTAAGAGGGAGTCACTCAGTACAGAATCACCCAGGCACAGATCCACTGAATGTGGGCTTTGTCCTTAATTTCTGGAATACTACATAACCGGACTGAATGACACAGATGCATGACTTTACGGAGTTGATTAAGAACCTGTGGAACATATGGGCTCAAGAAATACTGCATGAATTCATAGACAATAGTTCCATAATTGATAACGAAAGGAAATTGGAAATATTGTTGATATGTTCTTGTAGTTCACAGTAATAGTGTCTGGACTATTCTTTGAGGTCAAAGAGTAAAGCTCTTGCTTTAAAACTTTTCTTTTTTATCCATTGGTGAAATTAACATTGGACTAGGAAAACCATGACTCTATGCATATGACAATATTAGGTTCTTTCAATGTGCAGACGGAGTCCCTAGGTGGTGCCAACAGTTAACATGCTCAGGTGGTCACCAAAAGATTGGAGGTTTGAATCCACCCAGAGTTGCCTAGAAAGAAAGACTTGGTGATCTATTTCCAAAATATCAGACATCAAAAACCCTATGGACCACAGTTCCATTCCAACACACGTGGGTTGCCATGAGGCACTGTTGACTCAATGGCAACTGGTTAACAATGTTCTATCGGCATCAATAATGATAGGTGATATATCTTGGAAAACCTAAGTCTGACATTTAAAACTTTTATGCAAATTATGAAATTCCTGGCTTAGCATTTTTGTGACCCAATGGAGAAGTTCTGTTACCTGGCCAAGTTATCCCAGTCTGTAGTAAACTTCTCTAAGAACCCTTCAACAACCTTCATAGAGTCGTGGTAATCTCTCGTTCTCTGAAGGTCCTCTTCTCTTTGTGAGCACAGGTTGTTAGACTGAAGGCACAGATCTGACCACTGGTCATTTAAGTGGCTTATTTCCTTGTGTTCAGGAGACTCCTGATTCCTTGTTAACTTATTCACCTTTTCTATGATAGTGGTCACCGATGCCTGTCTGGACTGTACTTTGGTAACAAAATCCTAAAAGATAACAAAAGCAACAAAATAAGTAATATGTTAAGAAACCCCCAAGGAAGTACAGAGTGAGATAAAGATACAGTAACTCTGAATACCATAAGGACTTGGCTATGATGAAATTGAAGAATGCATAATGGGTCACATGGGACAAAGGGAAACTCTAAAAGTCATCATACCTCTTTATGAAAACAAATTTCCACATGTCTAAGACTCAAAGGAGAGCTACAGTATATTCTTTGAGTTACTTTGAAAGGTGAAAAAAAAAATCCTGATTAATATAAAACAGTATCATAGTCTCTAAAGAAAAAGTTAGTGTCTTACCTTGAAGTACAGCCTTCATTTTCTGAAAACTTTTGAGAAAAAAATAATCTAATTTTTGTCATCTCTATTCTTTTTCTTCATTTGTAAATAATATTCCAGTAGAAAATCTATCTGGATCATTATCATAGAGAATCAATAAATCCTACAGCTTGTGAAAAATATAGTCCAAGTTTAGTCAAGTTAATATACTTATGAGCATTGCCTATTACTTCTTCATCCTATGCTTGCTATACTGCAGCTTTAGCAACGCTGTGACAAAAATCTAAGACACGATCAGGCTTCGTGCTTGTTTGGTGGCAGACACTTCTGCCTTTGTTGGCTAAACCACAGCTGCTTTTGTCCAGGAACACATGCTACAGAGTGAATATCCTCAGAACGCAAGCTGCCAACTGGAGTTCCAAGAAGACACTGAAATGTGTATTTCACATGTATCCTTCCCTATTGGATGCAGGTTCCACTGATGCTATCCTTTTCTTTAAATAGCTACACTGCTGCTCAGGATTGGCTGACACTGGAAATACTGGAAGTGAATACAGGGATTCCATCTTTCCTGCCATCTTGGCCTCTACTATTTCCCCGGGACACATTAATTCCTACCTTTACTTGGGAAACCATATTCTGTGCAATATTTAGCTCCAGTTCTGAATGCCTCCTCTTCATATTCTGCAGCTGCTGATCGGCATCCTGGAGGTAAATCCAAAGCTCAGCCTTCATGTGCTTGATCTCTTCCCAGCCCTGAGTTAAGGCCTGGGCCTGAGTGAGCTTCTGTTCAATCTTGAGAGAAAACAAGGAAAAAATTTAGAATGAATAGGCAGAAGCATTTATGTTTAAGGAAGTAATGATGCAACACTCTAACCTGTCTGTGTGCCCAGGCATATGTATATATGTCATGGCTACCCCAACACATGTGCCTCTCTCTCACACACACACACACACATACACACACAGTGATAACTCCACAAGGAACTCATACACTTCAGCAATAGCAGATTTCCTTTTTGATTCAAATTATCTAATGACTTAAAAGACTTAAGCCGAATGCTGTTAATCAGACCCTCTCAGGAATTTTAACAATTTATTAGACTACAAGCTAATCACTATGATAGACACATCTGTTTCCCTGACACATGAACGGGGTGGTAGGGTGAACGAGAAAAGCACTTATGTTGTTTTCTATTGGACATTTCTTGACCTTTTTTATCAAACACTGAGTCATTAACATTTTGGATATATTTTTAGATGTATTTTTCTGGATTTTGTAGCCATATAATTTATTTCAGTAAATAATTTCTGTAAATGGCATGAATGATATCATCTTCCATAAGAATTTAAAGATAGGCACATTTTTATAATACTGACATGAGAAAAAAACCTGTGTTAAGAGTTTTTTCTTTAGATCATTCCATTATTTAATAAATTAAATACCAAAAACATGTTGTATTGCTCTTTTAAACCCAAATATGTTGCATTAAAGGGTTTAAGGCTGCAGTGGGAAACATGCAGGCCCCGGACTCCCCATGTGGCTGCTATGGACAGGCTGCTGCTAACTCATCACCCTTCCTCTAGCACGTCCACACACAGCTTCGGAGTCCTTCACAACCTGCCCTCTGCAGTCACTGCCGATGGATTAGAAGGTCATGATGAATGCCATGCTCCTTTCCATGACTGATACAAATCAAGGGTCAGAGACCCCTTGATATTAAGTATAACCTGACAAAAATGGATAAGGAGGAATGAATTTAAAAAAATAAATAGAAGAATCAGGAAAGAGGAAGACAGAATAATAACTGAGGGAGAAGAAGAGGACAGAGGTATATATGATGGAGAGCAGTTGAATGTTACTTAATGTTGCTGTGGCAATTCAGTGGGATCAGTATCAGATTCCGCTCACTTTTCCATGACTTATTTGAAATTCAAACACCTATCGATTTTAATTGCTGTAGGAGCATGAGAGCAAGAATAATCCAAGGAGATATTTTCTTCCAACCTCACATCTAACTTTCATCCCATACAATATAACAGAACAGACACATTCCATGGGATTTGAAATGTCCTTTTTTACCACTTGCTCTGTTTGTTGGATGTCTTTTGCGGTGGTTTTCACGGAGGAGTTGGACAAGTCACACATGGAGCAAAGGAGATCTAAGTAGGTGCGTGCCTGCTCCTGCAAAGCTCTGAAGTGTTTGACCTGGAAAAAACAGACCCAGGGGTGAAAGAAATGCACACTGTATCCGGTAGCACACACCTACAATACACTTAGTGTTCTGTTGACATTTCAAAAATAGTGCTGCTATGTTTAGCACTTTAACCATTTTTGTAAATGACATACACTAGTGATGCTCAGGAAGGAATTCAAGGCACATGGCAGGGACCTATTGGTCCACCATCTGCTTCTCACAGTAATGAAAGAACAGCCTGTTAAAAACCTACACACTGTCATTGAGTCAATTCTGACTCACAGTGCCCCTAGAGGACAGAGTAGAACTTCCCCACAGGGTTTCTAAGACTGTCAATCTTTACAGAAGCCAACTGTATCATTTTTCTCCCTAGAAGCAGCTGGTGGGTTCGAACTGGTGATTTCTGACTAGCAGCTGAATGCTTTAACCACTGCATCACCAGAACTCCTACAAATACAGCCTGTAGTGCCTGGAAAAAGGGAAAACCCAAGAAACTTCAATGGTTTTTCCACATTCTCTGTTCAAATCCTGACTTACTTTCTATTGCAGAGAAAGAATTGCTTGCCTCCTCAGACCTGCTTCTTAAACATGTTTTCATGTCTTGAAGACATGTAAAAGAAAAGGTCCGAGTGAATTTGGAGGCTTCACTGGAGTGAGGTAAAAACTCCAATGGCAGAGTCTTCTCTACAGAAATTTCATAAGCTGCCCATCTCTTTCCGTCAACCGAAGAAAGGCCTCCCCAGGTGGATTATTAGTCTATAGGTCAGGGAAATACGTTTCTTTGAAGATGCTCAGAGTCTATACAGACTCTATGTTAGGTACCTAATACAAGACCCTTGTTTTTATGGAGCTCAAAGTCTTGTAAGACAGATAAACCAAACAAAATAAAACTCACTTCCATCTAGTTGATTTAGACTCATAGTGACCCCCTTTGGGTTTCTGAGGTGGTAAATCTTTATGGAAGTAGATTGCTCAGTCTTCCTTCCATGGAGTGGCTGATGGGTTTGAATTGCCAACCTTCTGGTTAGCAGTCAAATGTCTTAGACGCTACATCACCAGATCCACAAACAAATATGGCATACAATGTCTGATAGTGATAAATGCCAGAAAAGAAAAATCAAAGTAGATAAAGGGGTAGATGGTGATGAAGCAGCTGCTACTTCAGGAAGCATGCACCTCCATTATTGCGTACTAAACGTCTGTCTGTATGAAGCACAAGCGTAATGCACATTCAGGAGTCTCTTACCTGCTTAACAGCCTCTGCTCGGCTAAGAGGGGGCTGAGGGCTTGGCTTTAAATCGGGTTGGACTGCAGAAAGCCAGGCCTGGCACTGCTGCAGGGTGTCTTGTCGGCTAACATGCTTCTTAAGTTCACGCTCCAAACTCTGGTACACCTGCAACAAAGCACCACACTGAGGTTGCTGGGGCTCTTTAAGGTCTTGATACAGAGCCTTGGAAATAAACGAGTAATTCAATCCATCCATTTAAATTGATCGCCACCCCCCAACGCACTCCAACACTATACAACATATTTACCTGTGTTCCAATATCTTGCAAGGTGTAACATCCAGAAGTGCCTAGCGAGCTGCCTCTGAAAAGTCATAGTCTTGAAAACCCCCAAACTTCTCAACCCACACCCCACAGTTTAGTTATAACCCACACCTCACAGCTTAGTTATAACCCACACCTCACA